GGCCCTTGGAGGATAATTATCGCCTTCCCCATCTGCCGTTTTGAGCTCCTCCCCCCCCCCCCCCCCTATTGCTAACAAAGTAAAGATAATGAAGGATCTCTCCGCTAAAAGCAAGGAAAGAGGACTTCAAAGTGTAAGAACAGCCGTTGAAGCATAAATCATTTGCAAATAGATATCACTGAATAGTTTCAGCACGGAAAAGGTTCCTTTCAGCGAAGCACTCAAAAGCAGGCTGGCATCCTCGAAGAAAACGATTCTTTCTCGGTCCTCACTCTCTTTTCATGCAGTTGTTTTTGATGGGGAGAGAAACGAGTAGAAATTGTCTCCACGGTATTGACACTCAAATCTAACTCGAGAGTCCATGTTTAAAATATGATTGCAATCCTACCCGTATTTCAGAAATATTTGCATCACATGTGGTTATTCATAAACGTCATGACTTTTAATGCTGCCATAAGCTGAAATTTGAGCACCGCATAAATATCTCCTAATTCAATTATTTCCCAATGAGTTCCCACACCTTTTCAATGCAAACCATTGCTTCCTATGGCACTACCGACCCCAGTGAAGATAAAGCATCCTTCAGTTTTAAATATACTTGAACTGGAATTCGGTAGATGTTCTTAGAGTCGAAGCACCGATAGTGCCAGTGGTCCTTATAGATGCGTGAACTCATCCCGAAATCACTGCAACTGGCTCTAAACTCAAAAAGCAAACTTTCGATGAAGCTGTAAATGTTTTGATTGTCAGTGCCGTCATATCCCTGTGTGACTGCGGGCGACTACGACGCAAATGGCAGCGCTCTTGCTTCCTTGGATTCAGGAATTGCCATGCGGTGCCTAAAGAAGAGTCCGGTAAAACTTATGAACTACACAGCAAAGCAGAAACGTCGTATGGTGCATATTCTGTACGATATGACGTACGAAGACATCTCATAAAATACGTTCGTTGAAAAGGCACCTATGCAAAATAGGTAAAAATGTGCTCCTTCCTATGTCTACTCACAAGAAATGAATGGGGTATATTATTGAGAACCCCATACTATGCTGTTTCGGGCATACGGACGTTTGGAAGATTTGCATATGAACCTTAACTTTCAACAATGAGGAGCCTTGAGATGAGCTTCAGTGAGACAGAGTACCTAATACACCATTTGACATCACCTCTCTGGCAGTTGGCGAACTGCCGCAGTTGATAGAGATCTCTTAACACTTTTCATGTTAACTGAAGTGGTAAACACTCCATGATGCCGTAGAATGCGCTGTGTCGCGGGATAACGCCGAAAAGATTAGCATCAGCGCAGAACTGCTTCAACATCTGAAGAACGGCGGAATGACGACGACAGGAACAACGCTGACAAGAATCTCGGCACTAAAAAACGCTGTCGAGATAGACTCAACAGCGCCAAACCGTGTTGGCGCTGTTACTTTCGATGATGTTCCGTTTCAGCCCATTTCTGTCCTCACGTGTCCGTGCCGATGTTATTCTGAGCCTCAGCAATTATCATCGAGCTATTTCTGCGTCGATTTTTACCATTAATGCGTCGATGTTCGTCGTGTTAGCTTCCCCACGGAAGACAGTGATTCCTGTGGCACTGCGTAGATGTCGCACGAAGTCTATTTCGACGAAGGCGCACAAGTAAGGTCTAGCCCTGGAACCAAACGTCTAAGGCTATTGCCCTTGCTGCCTTTCCATTTGGAATATGGGGCAGTTCCGATTGTCTATGCTGTGAAATGAAACATTACTTATATTAAGCTCACTGAAGGAGTGAGTTTTACTTGCTTTCTATTTAAAAAAATTATTTTCCCTTCGTAGGGTAGGGTAGCACAGGCTTATAATCACGATGGAGTACTTGCGAAAGAGTGACTATTTCCTTTCCGAGTTGATACGTTTATTGTCTGCTCATGTTGAATCACAAGAACTTATTTGCCTAAAAATGAAGTCACTTGTATGGAAAGGTGAAATTCAAAAGGGGTATAAGCAAAATTCTGGGAAAGAGCAGGAAGCATTTGCAATTATTTAATATAACCACTTAACTGGGTATGACGTCACGGGATTTCAGCCCCTCATGTCCCCATGGGAACATCGGGACCACATGCCTACAATGGCATGTACAAATATACAGATGAGGTACTGACACGGTATGTACGTCTCACCTTTGTACCTCTCCTTGTACGCTTCTACTTAGCTGTGTAGGAGGGACAAGAGTGCAAGTAAAAAGCGAATAATATTTAATAGCATTTTCCGCTGGAGGTACGAGGGGCATTAAAAAAGTATTGCCTCCTCCTCTTATTGTATCTGCATTTATAGACTCTATAGGAAAAAGAGGTGATTATTAATGAAGAATGGAATGTGGGCCTTAATTTGATATGATTTCCTCCTTCCTCTATATATCATATCGTAGGAAAAGAACTTATTTATTGAACTTAGTTATACACACAGAGCTCTGCTACTACCGAGTAGCTGGTGCAGGTGACATGATGATAGGAACAGTCATGATACTTAGCACTCTCCTTGAATGTATACCATCTGTCTTGTTCGTGGTGAATCAAGATATAATGATTCCAATGATTCAGATAGGTGATATTCCTAGTACTTTTCCTTTGAGTACACTCTTTTAAATCAGGTTTAGTTAAAATGAGATGGACAGCGAAGATTTCCATGCGATGAACTTAAAGTCATCAGAAGTGTCTCAGTGACAGGAGTAATGAAACGAGTTAAATATTAAAAAAAGGAAGTGTCAGTCTGTTCGTGGTGTCTTCTTGAACTTGTGTTTAGGACTCTGTCTCTGAGATTACTAACTGCCGGTGGGCTGCTCGCTCCAGGAAAGGCATGAGCCTGGAAAGCGACTGCACGTCAAGGCATCTCCCCCAGGAAATCCCAGGAAACTGTGCTCTCTTCTCGAGGCCATAGTTGAAGAGGATTCACCTTGTTGGCGTGCATGAGATGGTTAATATTGTGGCCATTTAGACGGCGACTGTTGAGACCATTCACCATCCCAACCTCTGAAAAACAGGAACGGAGGGAAATTTGCAGTGAGAATTCAAGTGGATAATACAGATTCGAAGCTTTCTATCTAAGTCATTACCGAAAATGGAACCTGTATTTAAATTTTTAGGCCAGAGAACTAGTTAGGGAGCAAGCACTCATGACTGGAAGTGTTTTAGTTTCTCCGAGATGGCAGAAGATTATGTGCAAGGTGCTTCATGGCATTTTTTAATCTCTAGAAGGCCTAATAATTCACGTTCCAGCTCCAAATTGGATACATACAGTCAACTCTCGATGTACCACCACTGTTGGTCTTTGCCGATTTTGGCGCTTTATCGAGGGTTGACTGTACTTACTGCAAGGTGATTCTTGGTTACTGTATTATTTTTAAAAGTTGAAAAGGCTACTAGTGAGAGATGAGTAAAGTCTGCATAAGGAGAGATAAAGCTTCTGCCTGGCAATAGCCCAAACGATAGGTCGGAAGATTTTTCAGTCGTTAATGATGGACAGTGTGATGATGAACCCACCCGTCCCAACGTATTGATCTGATCTCACCCCTGGCTACTTCTCGTTATCAACTCTCAGGTCCTTGCTGGCAGGAAAGCGCTTTGAAATTCAGGATGATCTAGAAGGTGCGATTTTCCAATGCTCGAAACCGCACCCAGTTATTATACCCAGACTATTCAAAATGCAATCATTGCTGGATTTCAATGATTAAATTCTGCGTAGAGATAGAGCAGGAGTTCATCGAATGGGTGGTGTGATGATGACACCTCAATATTGTCTCATTCGAGGAAAATGAATAAGGAGGCAATACTTATTGAACGCCCCTCGTATGTAAATATTCTTCCTGAATTAGACATCTTTGACGTCACAGTCCGTCTGGGCACACCTATCACTCATTGAATTCTCAATTCAACCGATACTTATGATGTCATAGGGATGGTATTGAAGTTATAGGGAGGAGCACTTTATAATGACACTAGCTACTATCAGTGAAACTTTTCCGTCTTCTTAACCTTTATCGTACATGCGTACATTTATTTGTACATTAACCGTTATCGAGGAATGTAGCAACTGCTGCGCCACAGAATGCATTTTCCCATGGTCTAGAGGTAAAAATGCTGTAACCCAACTTTTTTGCGAAAATTCTGATATTAAGTGAATAATTGCTCAGGTAGCAAGTGTTTACGAGCTTCGAAGAAAATATCTGGCTGTCAGCCCTTTCGCGGAATATTTAAATCCGTCCGATAAAGGTTAAAAGAGGTTAATCAACTTCAGTCCATTCAAATAGGACACACCTTTGGAATTTCGAACAGTTACATTCGGATCAATAACATTGGGTCTGTCTCAGAATTCTAACAAAATGACGTTTAAATTTCAAAAGCTACGCTTAAGATGAATAACAGGGAAGGTTTTCCGTCATTAGGGAATCCCCAACTGCACGTATGCTACTTTTCAGCGAGTTATGTCTCGTAGCATTTAAGTGAGACTCGTTTTACGGATTTTCAACCTCCAGGTGTATTAAGAGTAGGCGATGGTCGTGTCTTTTTTGCTAGCGACTCAGCTAGCTCTGCTGAGGCCCCCAGCATCCGATTACGTCATTTTAAGGCTTAGCTGCTCGGCGTTCTCATAGTTCGCTATGTTCACTCGCAGCTGCTTGCCCAATAGTGACGTCATTCGATGATGTGATCTTGCTTTGCCAACGCGTCTTTTTCGCCAGCAGCTGCTAGCGGCTGGAGAAAAAGACGCGCCCGGTAATTTTGATCTCTGCATGGGATGTGAATCGACCCAATTGGATCCATCCACGGATCACCGTGCAGCTGATCGGTTTGCAATACCTGTAAAGTTTCCGGTCTGGTTCAGACGATTATTTCATCAAAGGGTGTGTCTTTTTGTCCAGCCGGTTACAGTTGTTGGCAAAAAGACATCTATTTCCTTCAGCACTTGATGCCATTGTCGTTAAATGGCTTCACTCTCGGGCAAGCAGTGCTAGTAGAACGTAGTGAACCATGAGAGTGTTGAACAGGCCAGCGCGAAAGTCACATTATGGGGCATTGGAAGCTTCAGCAGAACCAGCAGAATCGCTCAGAAATCAGTCGTACTCGAAGACCTCGAATTCTGAAGAAGCGGGCTGCGGGCAGACCCGACTGGCCAGACACGACCTGCGGGTCGGATCCGTAAAGCTCAGTCGGGCGATCGAATTTCGGGTCGGGTGGGGTCCACGATAAAAATCAGGCCGATCGGACTGGGTTCAGAAAAACCACCCACGCAGTCCAGCGGACAGACAGGATGTAGATAATGATAATTATGTAGATAATAGCTCTGAATGTAGAGGGCCGCGGCATTTATTACAACAGTAATATTTCGATGCTATATGACGAAGTGCAATACCATGTCTGCACCACGAAATTTGATTTCGATCAGCTTAATTGCGGTCTGTGAGAGAATGGAGGCTGAATGCAGTAAGATAATCAGGAGTTCGAGCAGAAGTGGTGGAGTTCGTGGTGCATGAATGCATTTTCATCGGTGCGCTTAGATGGTGTCACTGATGGCTTGGCTAAAAGTACGTTCAAGACTACAGACGTGCCACCTGCGTTGAGACCGCAGAAGTGCTTAAATATCGAGTGCTTGCTCTTACCTCCTCCGGACGCGATCAGGGACTTGAGAAGTCCTCCAGAATGCTCTCGACTTATTTATCTAAAGAAGAGGATAATCCTCACAGGTCGGTTCGGCGAAACCTGTTGGCATTCGAGTGAAGCACACTTGACTCCCTATTGCGGACCGGGTATAAAAATGTCATTAAATGAAGCGCACAAAAAATCTATTTTCCTTTCTTCCGAATTGTGCAGTGTCGGATTGGTCCACGGGAATATCAAGAAATTTCTTTGAGAGGTGGGCATTGCCAGCAATTTCCTGGGGGGCCCCAAGGTCGCCAGTCTGATCCTGAAATTGTGTGTTCCCGATGAACAGTCGGTACAATGCAGTTTATGCCATTTATATCGTATGGGGAGGAGGTCTGGAAAAAGCGCTTGCGTTATCGGGTCAAATCTCAAACCCAGTCATATGGTCCATTGGTTGCCAAGCATTTCTGTCTCCTATGTGACTAAGTGATACTTAGCATTAACAACTTTGCATAAAAATTAATCCTTTAAAGATACCTCATATTTCTTATGGGAGAGGGAAAGTAGGGGAAAACTAGAAAAAGGAGATGAAAAAAGAGAGCTAACCTTCGTCTCCCAGGTTCGCTCCAAGTTTAGAGTGAACATTCAGACGAGATGGAGTTCTCTCCTCTCCTTGTCCGGGTTCTGTTCCTCTTTGCGGATATAATTGTGAGCTCTGACTTACATGGTGTAAATTCTCATAGTTTGTTATTTTACAAACTTTAAGCGTCAGGTTACAAGTCGCCAGAGAAAACCTCTTCCATAGCTCAACTTCCTAAGGTACGAATATACTTCCCATCATCATGCCCTCAGCTTCTTGAGATACCTTTCCTGGTTCTGGAAACAGTTACTCCAACTACATATGAGAACCTCATTGTGGGCATATGTCCGCAGCGTAGAATTGTTCGGACCTGCCCTGAATCACCGTGTCACCTTGAGTCTCTTAGATCTTGTCGAAATTTAAACTACTTAAGGTGGGTCTAGATTTTAGTTCGGCGTTTTAGCACAGGCGAGAAACAGACTCGGTAGCGTTTTACAGTGCTTGCAGATTCAAAGAGTTTTAGATTGGATTAATACACAGGTTTAACTTAGATTCTAACAAGGACCAAGCCACCTCTAATCATCTCCTCTTAGTCGAAAAAGCAAACAAAATGTTTTTAAAAAATCGTCTGAACTTCCATTTTGTAAATATACCTCAACTTGCAAGATTGACTTCGATCGGTTATTCCCCCCCTAGCTATTGTTCAAGGGCGATATTGATAACACAGCATCATGGATTACGCAAGATCTCTTGAGTCATTTCCCCTCTTCATCTATTTGCGCTGTAAATTGCCATTCTAAGTCTGTTTTACAGACAATTTAGACTACAATGTTAACCCTGTGAATCCAAGTCCACTTAAGACTTCTCCCAATTCTGACAGCTTGGGACTTCTCTAGGGAAAGGTGATTGTTTGGTATGATCAAGGGTGATGATCTCATGTCCAGGAAGTTGATTCATGAGCTGCTAAGCATTTCCGTCCTCGATATGACACATTGCCACGAAAGCTTCAAATCAAATAACTTCAACTTCAAATAGAAGTAAATCCTTGCCCAAAGATGCCTCATTTTCCGTTATCGTGGGAAGGGAAATAGAGAGAAGAACGATAAAAACCGGGAAGCCTACCTTCATCTCCCCCAGTCCATTCCTAAGTTCAATGTGTGTGCATTTTCGAGGTAAATGAAATGTCGCCATTCTCAGTTTTGCCCCTGTGTCTCCTGGCCGGATTTATTGTGAGTTCTCAATCCCAAGGTTGAATCTCTCAAATCCAGATACAGTATAATTATTATATGTTTTCTCATTGCCGTAGAAAATCCCTTGCCAACCTCAGCATCTCCATAACCTGTGAATGGAAAGTTTGGGGTTTTTTTTCTCTCGCTGTTATCAGGGCCCACCCCGATTTTTGGAGTGGAAATAGCCATTATTAGCTTTTCCCTTGGATTGTTAGTAAACCTTCCCTTGTTAGAAAACTCTTTATATTATTTGCTTCAGCTTACAAACACGAGAGCCTGCTGCAGGAATCGATTCAGGGAGAGGAATGAAAGACAGAGGGATCGGTGCCTTTCTGAAGCTCTCAGTTTTTATTGGGGGAGAGGAGAGGGGAGTCCTCATTTTCAAGCAAGGTTTTATATTGTATTTGGGATATTTAGTGACTCAGCTCTTGGCCATTTCCTATACGAATTCCAACCTGATTACCCAACAGCCCCGTGCATAAAATATTATAAGGTTTGCAAGTCTCCTCATGCAAGACTGGAGCACGTAGTCGTTCTGTCAGTAGCATTTGATTTTCTTCATAGAGGTGTGCCGTAAAGGAGCCTGATTGAGAACCATGAAATAGAGTAATCACCTCAAATCGCGGGAGTCCGTTGATGCGAGTACGCTTGCAAGCTCATAAAACTGGATGTTTTAACTTTTTTTTCCTTTTTCTGACTTTTGACTTATGACTGACAGGATCATCACATCATCGTACCATTCGCTCCGTGGAAAGAACCGTCTGGAGGTTTTGACGATATTGCAGTCATTTAACGAATCAACCAACTGATCTGTTACGCATGCAAAGATGTTTTCATTAAACATCGATTCGACTCCAAATTAATTGTAAAATTTCTGATGATCTGTTCAGCTCTTCACAGCATGGGCGGCTCAGGATATTCAGCAGTAGGGAGTCGTCAATGGAGGCATGGTTGACCCTGCCGAATATCGTGAACCGCCACTGCTCCACAGAGCCCGTTTTTTTGGACGCCAGTCGATGTCGTGGCCGCTGCAGTATTTGTTGCATCTGGACAGTCATAGCGTTCTCCTCAGAGCTCGTTCTCCATGACTGTAGATAGGTGAAAGCCACAGGATCTCAAGTCTGGAGTATGGAGTTTGGTGGGGAGAGAGAAAGAAGGTGGGGGCGAGGCAAAACTTTCCAGCTTCAGGAATCCAAAGCAAAAAGGAGCGAGCGCGGTCTCTGGCTCAAAGTGATGATAGCAAGATTGATTTCCTATTTCATGCGTACTATTTTGACATTGATATATTGATATTAATGAATAACTGTCAAGAAATTGACTGGTAAAAGGGCCTTTACCCTCTATCATCATTCAATTGTTCTCCCAAAAAGAATGAGAATTTCGAGAATTTTGCAAAGGAAAGTCGTTCTTGCGGAGGAAATATCGAAATGATGTCCTTGCCTTAAGGCTTCTGAAGAACTATCCCTTTTCAGTGCGAGGCTTTGCAATGAGTACAGGTATGAAGACAAACACAACTAAGTTTAGATTCGGGGTTAAAAATTCGATTCCCTTAAAAAACGTCCCCCCGTCAAGTGGATTTGGAGCTTTTAGTTTAGAAAAAGTTTAGAACCCTATTTAGACGAAACTCCACCTGCTGGGTGAGTCATGATTTTTTTGCCAGGATTACTCGTCGCGATCCAAGGTTGCGTATAAATACGCTCTTATCTAGCTTCTCCTCTTATTTTATGTTCCATCTTAACTGATTCTTTCCACATTACAGGCAATATCCTCATCTTGATAGATTTATTGCACGACTCAAAATCGGAAGGTAAAGCATATTTACTTGAGGTCCATTCTTTTTTTACTAAAAGGAATTGTATCTGGTGACCAGCTCACCCATCTGAGGTATCGAGGTCTCCAGTCACTTTCTTCTTATCTAGGTATCGCAGATGGAGAAAATTATACTCTGTAATCATGACTTCATGCACATGAAATGCAATGCACTTGAAACTTTGATTTCCTCCAGGAAGACTTTGAAGGAACTGTCACTCACTTCGTAAACAGAGAGCATATTGGGAGGGGTGGAAGTGATAGTTTTTCCTGGATCTTTTTGCACAAGTCCCTTTATAAAGTCTAAGTTGATGGCAGTGCAAACGTTTCCATCTATCCACGAACTGGAAAACATATATTTGATTTTGTGCAGGTGACCGGCGTGAGGTGCCAAAATACTTCTCTCTATGATTGGTATTCAGCTGAGGGAATAACTGCATCCCTGAAGGCAGACGGCAAATATTTCACCCTCAACAACCAAAAGATCCTAATTCTCAGTGGGGCCATTCATTATTATCGTGTTCATCCCGAATACTGGCGAGATCGACTACTAAAGCTCAAGGCTCTTGGTCTCAACACCGTGGAAACGTACAATTTCTCTCTTCATTCGCACTGATTCTATAATCAGAATGCCTTTAGGTTATTCCTAACATTTTCGTGGCCAGGTATGTCCCCTGGAACTTGCACCAGCCGATGCTGGATACATATGATTTCGGGACTGGAACTGATCACATGTCCCAGTTCTTGAACATTACGAATTTCCTTGAAATCGCACAGGAACTGGGATTATTCGTTATCCTTCGACTCGGGCCTTACATCTGCTCCGAATGGGAATTCGGTGGCCTTCCCAGGTAAGGTTGCTTGTCGCACTGCCTCTAGATGCTGTCATCACATTTTGAAATTACAGGGCATTTACGTTCAACTGCTTTATGCACCTCCTGTACGCAGTTACCTGCTGGAGACGCAAGAGAAGTTGAGGATTTCGGACGAGAAGTTCTTGAAAATAGTTCAAGATTTTTTAGATGCTCTTTTTTTAACAGTTCCTTTAGTCAAGGATTTTGTTTGGCGCAACGGATCCACACCGTATCCCATCATAGCTGTACAGGTACACCAGCTTCTACTTTTTAATTTGTGCGCTTACTTTTTTTTAAGGGTAATTGAAGGGCTGAAAGGCGAAGTGGTCTATCTGAAAAAAATGCCGAAAGGATGGCATGGTTCTATGAACGATAAAAATTGTTCATAGAACCTTCTTCCTTTCATTGAAAATGGTAGGTTTTTTGGGGGGGAAGTATGTTAAAGATGAACTAGTCTATTGATGCATGCCTATTTTCCTCATTTTTAAAAAGACCGAACCTGGAATATTCACTCTTTCCGTACGGAGGTTGAGGAAAGTATTTTTTGCAGATAGACCACTTGACCTTTCAGCCATTCTATTCGTCGCCTGACTGTGAATTTGGACTCCCACAGGTGGAGAACGAATATGGTCGTTTCGGCTACGGTCTACCTGATACAGTATACTTGTCGACAATACTGGCCAAGTTCAAATCAAAATTTGAAAATGAAGATCTGCTGTTTTTCACTTCTGACACCCCCTCAATTTCTGGGACCCTTGGGGCCATCCCAGAAGGTGAATAAAGTCTCCTCAGTTCGAAGTTCAATAAATATCTATCGCTCAAACATCATCAATGAGACTTGAATTGATCATGTTGCAGTGCTGATGACGGCTAAAATCCAAAACAATTCCGGTGCGGAATTGGACGAATTGATGAGGCTTCAACCCGACCGACCCCTGATGGCGGCGGAATTCTGGACTGGATGGTTCGATCATTGGTTGGAGTCTCATCAAGTTCGAGACACCAAATGTAAGGTCTCTAATCGATCCACGAATGCATCGATATTTCTCATGTTGAAAATGCTATCCTGTCCACAATGATTGTCAAGGGTTCAGTGAGGAGCTGAGCGAGATCCTGAGAAGAAATGCATCTGTGAACTTTTACATGTTTCACGGAGGAACAAATTTCGGATTCATGAACGGAGCAAATGTCTTCGATCACTGGCCTTATTACGCACCTGATGTCACGAGCAACGGTGAGTCAAATGTGAACCTTCCTTCATATCTGGTAAACCGGAAAGCGGTGTTTTGGATTTGCCAATAATCCTGCATCCTCTTCGTGCTGTTTGTTCTTAATTGGCAGCGTCAACGTACGACGCTGTTCCCTCTGGGAAAAATTGGAATTGACATATCGTTCCCAGTTTCTCAGGCCACGGCACATAATCAGTAGCAAACAAAAAATAGTGTACTTTTCCTCTGAGCCAGGTGAGAGTCCAGGATGCCGTCCCGATATGCCGTCCCGATATACCTCATATCGATATCGATAATCCAAGTCTGAGGGGCATGCGTCGCAAAATTTTACATACAGATGCTGTTCGTTTCAGTTTCATGTAATCACAGTTTTTACAGTGAAAAAAAAACTTAAAATAGTGGGTCAAGTAAGAATCTTGAACTGATTTATTATATAATCCTTCATGGTCAGGTTTTTGAGAAATCTGAGAGATGATGACAATTCTTAGAACCATTTCATGATACTCTGTTTTTGGCCTGGAGTAAAGTACAAGTCAAAATTTTGTGGAATTCAGTGGGATTTAAAATTTCCTTTCTGGGATGCAGAGTTTCGATAAGTCTTTGGGTTTTGTGAAATTGCTTCGAAATGCTTCAAACGTATCGTCTCTCACTCGGGATATTGCAAATCATACGATCTTGCAGGCAATGCTTTTATTAATTTATTTACCCCGAGGAGAAGAACATGTGCCGCCATTTTCAAAAGCGTGGAAGAGACCCAGACTCAGTGTTCTCCAGGGCGATTCCCTGAGGCCACTTATATTCGTCCTTCCCTCCGCAGATCTTCCAGAGTTTGTTGAAGAGCGCTCCCCCAACATCGAGATAAGATTGTAAGCAGATGACATTGTCATTTATTCCTCTTCAAGAGACGCCCCTCTAACAACTTTGAATGCATTAACGCATAAGCATAGCGTGGATGGAAAAAGTATGCACATGGTGGGAAGGGGGGGGGGCACGGGAACTCTGGGATACAGTTATCATGCATTTTCGGACTTTCGATTTTGTTTTGTAAAGGATGCAGTGACTTGGGATAAAACTTCACGATAGGGAAATACATTTACAAACTCCAATTTCGTATCCAGGGGGGGGGGGGGGGTGCAATCGCCCCCCCCCCCCGCCCCTTCCTCTCTTGCCCTCCTGAACGCCGTAGCATTGACACTGTGGTTTAGAGGAAACTCTTCAAGTGAACACTGAGAAGACGAAAGCGGTGAAATTCCGGCTCAGAGGGAAACTGGCGAAGCATGATAAAGTCAAGTTTGGGGATACGAAATTGGAGTTTGTAAATGTATTTCCCTATCGTGAAGTTTTATCCCAAGTCACTGCATCCTTTACAAAACAAAATCGAAAGTCCGAAAATGCAAAACAGTCCTTCTATATAGGCCATCTAGGATATAGTCCATCTAGAACAATACCTGCTGCTGTCTTTCTTCAAAAGAAAAGTAATGCCCATTTGCATCAACATTCATTTGGAACGACCTATCTGGTTCTCATTTGCAAGACTCGAACAGAATCAAAGCGATATAAACCTAAGAAGTGCACCATTCCATGAACCCCGAGGACACACACGGAAGTTCTGCAACTATATAATTTAAAAAAAGGGGAAAACTTGTATTTACATCTCCTCAAAGTACTCCCCCCATAACATCTACGCACCACTACATTCTACCTTTCCATCTCAAGAAGGCTTCATGGTAGTGACACCATAAAAAAAACCCCAGTCCAAAAGTCCCTGCAATAAAAGTGCAGTCCACTCAATGGAAACATCCTGTGCCTTCAACTCCAAAGAGTACTAACGAGTACTGGGAAAGTCCTATATGTCGTGTTTTGGGGCTTGGAGGGTGTCATTCTGGTGCATCTGATGCCACAGTATGTCACAGTTACAAGGTAAATATATTCTGACATCTTGCGGAAGGACATCCTGTCTTGGGAAAGAAAATACTTAACCTGTTGAAGTAAGAAGTACTCCTATAGCGGGATAGTGTGCGCCCACACAGGCAACACTACCATAGCAACCACTTCTGAATTGTGCTGGAATTAAGTACCACATCTTCCTCACAGACCGAACTTGGCCCTCTGTGACAATTTTTTGTCTCCAAGACTCAAGTAACTTCTTTGTGGTCGCGAGTTTCAGTACCTTAGTGACTTAGTATTTTCATTTTCCAGTATTCTCAGGCAGACACCGAAGTTGTTCATGCGTGTCTAAGTGGTACCTACTCTCCGAAGGGCCCTCACACATTTCCATGGGTTGCAGTAGACTTTTGCACGGCATTATCACTGTATTCTGCTTTTCAAACAAATACACGGTGAGTCAAAAGTCACTGGACGACTTTGAGCAGCTATAACTCGGCCATTAATGCCTTAATTTGCAAACAGTTTGCATGTTAAAGAGCGTCCTTTAATTGACCAAACAACACGAAAATTTACATGAAATAGGAAATGGGATGAATAAGCACAAAACGGAAAGCAACGTTTTTCAACATAAAATTGATATTTAGGGTAGAACGGACGCCCTATTTGGGATCATTTTCAGTTAATTTTTGCTGCTCCAAAAGGTTTTCTAATAATGCCTATGAACTTTCTTTAGAGAAACGTGTCGCCGTCGTTTATTTATTGTCTATCTGTGAAGGAAATCTTCCCGAAGTGAAGAGTCACTTTGCTTTGAAGACAGATGGATAGGCCGAGTCGGGCCTATCGAGTGGCCTCCCAGGTCGCCGGACCTGATTCCACTCGACTTCTGGCTGTGGGGTTTCATTTCAAGACCAGGTATATGCCGAAAATTCGCGCACGATCAATGAACTGATGCAATGCATCACAGAAGATTGCTGGACTTGCCTTTTGGTGATGACTCGAGTGATCGAGCTTGATGGTGCTCAATATCGTGGCAAGATTTCCTTGAGATTTAGAAAATTGAGATTTAGGCCCTAAATCTCAATTTTTTGTTGAAAATGTTGCTTTTCGCTTCATCCCATTTCCTATTAGCATTTCATGTAAATTTTCATGTTGTTTGATCAATTAAAGGACGCTCTATAACATGCAAAAAACCGTTTGCTAATTAAGGCATTAATGACCGAGTTATAGCTGTTCAAAGTCATCCAGTGAATTTTGACTCACCCTGTGTAATGATCAGATTTGGTATTATTATCACAAGAAGGTAGACTACTGCTTCATGTTACAACAAAAAATTAAAGCTCTGCAGCAAAGAACCATCTACCTATTTCACAATGCCAATTATTTGAATTCAAAACTAGATAACATTTTGAAAGCCATGCCTGTCATGGAGTTCAAAACATGCACTTTGCATTATATGGTATCCATATAAGGTCACTAAATAATCTACTTGTTGTGGTGAATACGAACTACCAATGCCCTATCATGAATTTTTCGCAAGCTATTTTTATCTCGCAGAAAATGTTTTAGATACATGACGGTTGCATGATCCCACCCACACAACATTTTAACCCTTTCCGACCTGCATTAAGGCACAATCGGAATTATATACTTTTTTGCATTTTCCAGCTTTCCTTATTCTAATTCTAATTTTTATGTTCCACATATCGTTTTTATATTTTGTAAGAATTTACCTTATAATACCATATATTATATATTATATCACTTTATGTAATTACATAACAGAAGATTACAAAACTGATGGGTGAGAGAAGGCCTTTGATGGAATTGAGCCATGCATAATTGTAATATAATATGGGTGGAAAGACAGGAGAATCCCAAGAAATTACCATAGACGCAATGAATATGCAAGGTCCATTGGAATGGACATGGGGTTTGAAAGGGGTAAGGAAACTAGGTAAACATATACTGTAATGAATGGTCACTGATGCATGAATGCCTATAGTTTCAGCTATAGCTTAGATAGAACAGTTTCAGATAATAAAAACATTAGCCGTTCACAATTGCCGTATACATGTTAACTATAGACACAAAGTTAGATTCAAGTGAAGACTTTTGGGGGTTAAAAATAGGGGCGCAGAATTAAAATAAATTCATCATTTTCACCAGCAAGAAAGCAGTAATAAATTATCTCAATGGTCTCTTGCTGTTGCCTCTTTTCAAAACATTGTGCGCAAGAGCTTAGAGTATACTGTATTAACTTGAAAAGTTGACGCGCGTTTTCCGTTCACAATTATCACGATCATCCCTTATATGAATTATAAAATAATTCATCACACTACTAGTGTTTTATTTCTCACACATTTCTTGCGCAGATACACGTGAAAGTGTGTCTTCTTAAGCCTTGTTTCTAGCAGTAACGTAATAAAATAATCCCGGATTAGGACGATCACTTGCTTTTATATACCAACAGATTTTGGTGCCCTGCTGTCAGAAGCTGGGGACTACACAGACAAGTACGAGGTGGCTGCAAGTATTATCAATACGTTTTACAGCAAAGTAGATGAACTGCCACCCCTTCAACAGTTGGAAAGCCATGAGAGACCACCGGAAACCAACAAAACTGCTTATGGCAATGTCCCTATGACTCATTTCATGAAATTCCAAGACATCATCCTAGTCGTCGGCAAGGTCTGTAATCAGGATTCCTTTTTCAAACCCCAATTTCGTGTCACATAGCCCAATTCTGTTTTAAAGAAGACAAATTAAAACATTAACCCTTTTAAGCCCAAATTATTTCCAGGCATAGGGGAAATATTTAATTAACTTTTTTGGCTTCAACAAGGCTTATGCAACACAAGGTATTTTTTTATTTTCCACAAGAAAAATAAACTTGCAATTTTAAGAAATTAAATAATTAAATACAATCATGTGACTTGATTAGTCCAGCTAGAACTCAAATCCTTATTTTCTGTCATATGTTTCCAGTACTACTTTGCATTACCCTGAGGACAAAACACAATTTAAAAATAACGGGGGAAAAATGTCTAAAAGTTACTCACTCTTCAAAATGAGTTCTTTTCAGTCAAGGGTATGGAACTCTCTGACTTTCTACCCTTGCTTGGCTCTGGACTCACGCAGGAACGCAACCGACGCATTGCAAATTAATTGCCGAATAGGTTACATTGCCGCAGTAAAGCTGACAGGTGTTATTCAAGAAAAGTTCAGATGGCAGACTAGGAACAATTCTTGATATTGGCAGTACCATATGGACCCATGGACCAGAATGGGTTAAAGACGCTAGTTTCCTTATCTCTTTCCATCGAGCCACTTCACTATGGAGTTGTTGTTGAGAGTCTGACTGGGAGGCAGTACCAAGATTAGATCTCTGGAGGGAATTTGAACTAGTTATTAGGGTGTTTGCTCTATTGAGGGTAATTAGTATACTTACCATGCATCAGCCTGATGCACGAAGCTGATCCATGCATCTCAATTACCCTTCATGGATAAAAACACCCAAACCCCAGAGATCTAATATTGAAGCACTTGGGTTACTTTTCTCGGGAGTGGTGATATGCAGGGTGAGTCAAAAGTCACTGGACGACTTTTGAACAGCTAAAACTCAGCAAGGAAGGCATTAATTTGCAAACGGTTTTTTGCACATGAAAGAGCGTGGGTTAATTGACGAAACAACATGGAAATTTACATGAAATACCAATAAGAAATGGGACGAGCCAGCAATAAACTAAAAGCAAAATTTTTCAACATAAAAAGTGATATTTAGGGCAGGGCCGTATCTGGGATTTCATTTCGGGGGGATGAGGTCTGGCGTACTCGCTGTGGCTATTTAAAAAAATACTTGTCATTGTAAGTCTTTTTGACATCTGGATTTTCCTGTAAGTTGCAGTGTTTAATAAGTCATAAGCTATTAAATATGGAAAAGACCAAGTACTGCACCGTTTACACCGAATTTAAGGAAGATGTTTCGGGGGGGGGGGGGGGGGGGGGGGGACCCCATATTAAACACTGCAACTTACAGGAAAATCCAGATGTCAAAAAGACTTACAATGACAAGTATTTTTTTAAATAGCCACAGCGAGTACGCCAGACCTCATCCCCCCGAAATGAAATCCCAGATACGGGCCTTGATTTAGGGTACAGCGGATGCCCTATTCGCGATTCTTTTCTGTTAATTTTTGCTGCTCCAAATGGTTTTCTGATAATGCTGATGAACTTTCTTCAGAAGAACGTGTCGACATCGTTAATTTATTCTCTATCTGTGAAGGAAATATTTCCGAAGTGAAGAGTCGTTTTTGCTTTGAAGACTGGTAGATAGGCCGGATCGGGCCTATCGAGTGGCCTCCCAGGTCGCCGGACCTGATTCCACTCGACTTCTGGCTGTGCGGTTTCATTTCAAGACCAGGTATATGCCGAAAATTCGCGCTCCACTATTGAACTGAAGCAACGCATCGCTGAAAAGATTGCTCGAGTTGCCTTTCCATGACAGCTTGCATGATTGAGCTTGATGGTGGTCAATATCATGGCCAGTAATTACAGTCATATTTACGCCAAATAAATAAATGGTGTTTTTTTTTTTCAATGTTGCATATTTGTTAATTATTGAACGCTCTTCCCTATGCAAAAAAAAACCGTTTGCAAATTAATGTCTTCCTTGCCAAGTAACTGTATACACTGTAAAAAATAATTTCGACTAAGGCATCGGAAACAGGATTTCCGACTAATGCGCGGAGAAGCGGATTCCGGTCCATAGCCGAAACCACGTCTCCTATTTTTAACGTACAGGGTGGACGGGATAGTCCCGTCCTATTTTATGCGATATTTATGCGATGAGAACACTTCTTTTATGTAAAAAAAAACGTTTATTTCAACAGTTTACAGCTTGTATATGTTGCTGGACATGCAGGGGAACATCATCTACTCAATATAGCCACCCTCCTCTTTATGACATTCGTACAATCAATAATTTTACCGCGAAATTTGATTTTGTCAAAAATATGCGATAGGACGGGACTATCCCGTCCACCCTGTANGGAACATCATCTACTCAATATAGCCACCCTCCTCTTTATGACATTCGTACAATCAATAATTTTACCGCGAAATTTGATTTTGTCAAAAATATGCGATAGGACGGGACTATCCCGTCCACCCTGTAAACCAGACGTTCCGAAAAAACCTCGAAATCGATCTTTCCGACGAAAGCGAGTAATAGAGCTTTCCTCCCATTTTTCGGAAAATTTCAATCCGTAGTCGGAATCGAGTTCCAGTTTGCGAAAGTCTTATTCAGATTTTCCTTAATTCTCTTCTTTATTCAAAAATGGCTCCTTCCCTTTCTAGTCACAGACGCGATTATTCAGTACCTCCTTTTAACCACTTTCGAATAGATCGCGATCCACTCTCTCTTCTCAAAGAGAGGGTGTTAGGGAAGAATGACCGAGTCCTGAATCTTTTATACTTTGATTAGTCCAGGAAATGTAGATGGTGTCGGTGAATTCAGGCGTCCATCGTTTCAGAGCAGTTCCTCTCCCAACGGGAAGAAGAAGCTGTATGCTTTTATCTCCCCTTTATACGACAGGGAAATACACATAAAAATGCGTTTCTTCTTGAGAATGAAAACTATACGTTTTTCGAATCATCACGGTGTCCTATTTAAGGCGATATCGGAGGCTAGCGGGAGTCATCTATCGTTCGAGCTGGAAACTAAAGGTATCGGGTGGCTTCCTCGAGGTGGCAATACCGAAAGGTCCGAACGATCACGAAGGATATTTCGGTGAATATTCGAAACGGGCTTTTCTGACGCGAACGAGGAAAAGGGTCGTTCGCTTGAACGTCGGAATTCGCATGTCGGTCCCTTAGACATAATATTTTGTGCAAGAGGAAGGGGAGAATTCCGAAGAAGACGAAGTGGGGTTTCCGAAGAAATGCAGGAAATATTTTCCGAGCATGACGCGAAATTCGGGTTTACAGGTCCTTCGTCGGAAATTTTTACGAATAATAATCGGAAATTCCCCCCAAAAATTTTACAGTGTAGCTGTTCAAAGTCGTTCAGTGACTTTTGACTCACCCTGTACTCAATAATTCATTCATCCAATAAATCTCCCTCATTCCTTGGAGTCAGCTTGAAAATTGAGCCATCCTCCCTCCATCCTCCGAGCCAGAGCTTTCCGGAGACTTCTTGGACTAGGTTGCCTCTTAAAATGGATGCATAGAAGATTTCAAATGTCTTTTCCCTGTAGTTTGTGTTGGGAAATATCGGGTACCGTGTGAAGAGAATTTTGGATTAATATCAGCTGCATCAGGTATTGCCTCGAAATAGCAGCTAATTTAGCTTCATCTCACTTTGGTTGTGCGACCTTTGTTCGAGCCACTGCCAGATGGTTGGCCCGCTGTCCGAAAAAGGAGCACAGGTGTGCTATGTGAAAAGTCTCTAACTTTCAATTAATGTCCTTCAGAAACATAATAAGGAATAAGATCTTGGAAATCAAATGGTATCTTATCGGAGCACCCAAAAGCTCCTCATCCTTGAACATTGGATGTTCCAAAACCTCTTTGAACACAGGTTGAAGTTCGTCTTCGAGAACGTTCGTGAGTTACTTGGGAACTATTCAAAAATATACTCTCCCATGTCCTCCTCGTGATGCCATTTTTAATCAGATTTCCCATTCTCCTACTCAAATATCACTGCATGCATAGAACCAAGACAAAGAACTTACCATGTCACTCGCGGTGAAACATGGCGAGTGTGCCTGTCATTTTCATACTACCTGGTAAGATGGCGAGCTGAACATTATGAACATGTGTACCCCAAAGGATAAGGCATTCTTCAATACACTAAAGGGAATCGTGTCTTCTGTGCGAGAAGATTGTCTGCAAAGGAGAACAGTTTCCTTAAATTTTTTCCCTAAATGATAACAGGTTTTTCTGAGATTTCCCTCGTCCAATTACAATGACTTCACGCTCCTACAGGGATAGTCAATTTGATTTTCATTCTAAGAAACCTTCTAGAACGCAATCACAAGGACTTCGACGTTCTTGGAACTAGTAGAGTTATTAAATTATTACGCGTCTAAAAGAAATTTTCAACTTCAAGGGGAATTAGAATCACTTCGAACGTCGTTATTCCTCACGTCTTGAGGGCAGAACTTTACGGTACTGAAAGGTATGCGAAAAGTCCAGCTCGTTAACTTTCCCAATCGAATATTACGTCAATGAGCTTTTGATCTACTGTCACCGCAGTCATATCATCATAAAAGCAAAGCATCACAAAGCAAAGTGAGGAAGAGGCAAGAATCGCATCTCAGGGAAACCATGACACAATATGCATTGGAATACTGCGAATATGCTTTGCGAGGCGATTCGTAGACACCGTAGTTTGTTTCCTTGTTTTCGTGGCATAATTCCAGAAGATACTTGCTTTGTTTTGTACTGCAGGGTTGGGGGCTTCCATTCTTTCCTTCTAAGCTCAGACTTTCGTCGATTTCATTTTTATCGATTTGGGCTTTAAATTTTGTATTCTGGGCTTCAACCATAATCATTCATGATTGCCAGTAATTTTACAGAAGAACCTAATCTTAAATTGAAGAAGTCCCTTGCTGACGTAACTTCCCACTCTCCAGTCCAAAGTTCATAGGATATGTATTGCTGAAATGCATTTGGATTTCCTCGTGAATCGATTCTGATGAAATGCAGGCGAATGAACCAAGTATTCCGGAAAAACCATGGCCGAGCATGGAAGAGCTAAGAATAAAGCCCATTGATGAGACGAAATTTAGAGGTCAACGATATGGTTTTATCCTTTACCAACTCGAAGATAAACCCGAACCAGGGGTAGTTCTTCGGGCCTCTGGGAAGATCAAAGACATGGCCTACGTCCTCGTCGATGACATCGTCGTCAATCCCCCATACAGTCTGCCTGAAGATCTCAAGAAGTTCGGATTCTGGGCCACAAGGTAAAGTGAAACGCCGTTCTTCCATAGGCCTATCGCTCACTGCGAGGTAAAGACATGAGACCAACCAAGTCAAGGGCTGAAAGCACATTTTCCCGCCTAGTATTGGCAATTTAAAGGGTAATATGCTGTTGTTCAAGGTCAAGTAGTCCATAGGTAGGGTACCTTAGGTGGTCATTCAAATATTATTGCTCGCATATTTTGAAAAATATTCAGGCTTCCCTCTCCCAAAGTCACACGATCTGACAATGCTTCAACTCCTCCCTCCCCGTGCCCACTATGTCACTTCACAGAGAATGTATTTGCAATTGAAAAACGTCAACATCCCATTTTTCTCATCGAAATTTTTACATTGTGATGCGATAATCATAGCAACTATGGTCAATGTAAAAATGATGGCAAGATCTCGTACTCCAGGTCCCTTGGAAAGGAGGCTTTCAAAGAGACGGATCTCTTCGAAAACCCGCACCAATCATATCCATCGCACTGGCAGGCCATATGTCAGGCGATTGGCGGGCACACGAACGATTAATATGCCATTGGAGCCGGAAGTTAACTACTCTCAATTTGATGCAGTAACTTTATTTGTGCTGCTTTCAGTTTTTTTTCTGGGATCCCTGAGCAAAAGGTTTTGCAACACCTCGTATAATGTGACCCTTCGCCAAAACCACAAGCATATCATGCTTCGCCTATTGTCCCTTACAGGAAAAGCATGTAGTAAACAGTCCCTTACTGCTCTTTACGGATTCCTACTCAGCAGAATTTCAGACTGCCTGCCACCTGCGCTGTCATTTTGGAGAGCACCAAAGAGATGAATCTGACCTAAAGCAGGGTGCGGAGTGCTCATTCACTGAAATTTTCGATACTTATACTTTGAAAAGTTATTGCATTTGAAGCTCTGGGTGAAATTATTTTCCACTTGACAGGAATCTTCCTCATTCACTTGATTCCATTTGCCAAAAGTAATGAGCCTTGCAGATATTGAATGAAGCTATTAAAGAAAAAAAGCAGGCCTCCTTTTTCTTTAGACACTGTAGACTCGAGCGATATAAAATATATCATTTGAGCCCATACAAAACGTTACCCTCTCGTTCGTCCAAATTTAACCGCTTTTTCCACTAATCTTCACCTGAAGGGTCTTCTGACAGGTTAAGAGAGGGGAAAAAAAAAAAACAGTTTTTTACCCCAGTTTCACCGTCCCAATTTTATCTCAGGTAAAAAAATTTTTGTAAGGGGGGATCTTACAATAAGTACTTCCAGAGCGGGAAAAAGTCCCAAATGAGTGATAGATGAAGTTGTAATGGGATTCCTTTCCCGTGTGGAAAGTGAACGTTTCAAAAAACAATCGAGGAAAGTAGTAGGCGCCAGGGCTGGCCTTAGGCATGTGCCACATGTGACCTGCACAGGGCGCAAATTCACCAGGGGCGTCAAAACGTGCTAGATAGAACGACGCAATAATGGATGCCACCCTCAATTTTGCTTCAGAAAGTGGAAATGCCTTCTGTTTCCGTTTCGGAGTCTTTTTGGATGACTTTCCATGTCCCTTTTCAGAATAAGTTGATAGATATACATGACTCTTTGGAGAAAAGGAAGCTTTCTCCTTTCTAACCGCTTAAAAAATTTCGCTTCAGTCTGATATACTATGTATAGCAAGAAAAATCAATTCCTGGGATTTCACGTTTTCTTATACATCCTGTAATGAAAGATCCAGTTCAATGATCATCAAATTCGATCCAATTCGAACTCTGTTCAATTCGTCCTTCAGGTATTGACGTTCTTTGTTCATTAGGCTAAACGTGTTCAGCATCTGTAAATTATTCGGAAGAAAATTACTGGGAGGTCATATTCTCCCAAATGCATGACGCCACTTTACCCCAAATGCATCAATCGTTTTAAATTAAGATCCTGATGAGGCACGTTCTTTGTGTCCTTAAATTTAGGTTTCCTGATGAAAATTGCGTTTCATCAGTAACCGATTGTCCGAAATGACCAATTTGGTTATATCAGGGGTGTTAAACTCAAATCGGCCGGAGGGTTGCATTCTTTACCCTGCAGATGCCTGTGGGCCGCACCCAGAATATTTCACCGAAATTTGAGCTAACAGCTAACAGTCAATCCAAGCCGAAATCTCAAGAACAGACGGCGGGCCTAATCCGGCCCGCGGGCCATATGTTTGACACCCCTGGGTTATATAATCATGAAGAGAAGACAGAACCGGTGAAGGAGTCGTGAAGTTTGGACAAGACCATGGCTGTTGAGACGTCCTTCTTTGAATGTCCACAATAACCTAAATAAATATATTGAAAACACACACACACAATCCGAGTTATTGCTGCACATAATGAGATCCAAACTTCCTTACCTGTTCTCTGATGGAGCGATCGTGGTACTCCATAATATTTCAGGGCCAAGGTCGACCACGACCACAGATGCCGGGATTTAAGGGCCTCCATTGGAGAATTGTTACCCCATGTCACATAAGAATATGCATAGATCATGGTGAGCAGGTATACAGAGACTAGGTCTAAGTTGAGGTTTGTAGGTATATAAAGACAACGACCTGGGAAATATCATTTTAGCATCTATTTGAAGGCACAATTTTCGCTCTTTTCTATTTCGTTTCACAGATGTGACAACTTTCGAGCAAATGGAGGCAAGTCCTTGCTAGAGAGTACTTGCCTTGTGTATACACTTGCTTGCTCCTTGTAAGCAAAGACTTGTTAGAAAGGACTTGCCTCCACTTGCTCGAAAGTTGTCACACATTTGTATCAGGGCCTTTAGCAGTCTGGCACACAAGTAATAGTTTGGAACGATTGTTATAGTCCAATCATGTGACAATTTTCACTGTCATAGCCCCAAAGACAAGTGAATACGAATTCTCACCGCGAAGGATGACTGCAATTGAATAAGGGAAAATCAGAGTAAGTTAAGTAAATCAAAGTAAAGGTAGGAAATCCTGACTTGAAGTTGGCAAATACTTTTAAAAATTTAGATCTCAAGCATAATTGAAGTCAGGAACCAATGCTGGCGCGTGTAAAGTATGATCTTCACCACTTGGCAATTTGAGTTGTCTGAAGTTGCAATTATCTAAAGAAATGCGCTACCTATGGTCACATTTCACCCATGGTAATTTCCTCAACTTAACCAATCAGAAATTTGGCCGGAAAAAATACCAATTGGCTAAAAAAAAAAATATCTGAAGAAGAAAATGAATGGCGGAAGTAAATTTCTTTACGTAAAGAAGTTTTTGTTTAGATGGAAAGGAGAATCGACACTGCGCAAGAAGAAAAGACCAAGAAATTATTATGTAAAAGTTACGCAAAAGACCCTATATCATCATATCGTCAATAGGATTCAATATCATCAGCAAACTCTTTGGGGAGCCGCAATGACAGGACTCCCTTTTGACCGCGCTCCCAGTCACAGTTCGTAAAAAGCAAAAAAAAAGGGCTGCTCTCCTGGAGTTAGTTTTCTTTGCTGCACATATCTTTATGCTGTCTTCACGCTTTCATGGATCGACGGCCGTTCTTCAATATACTATCATTGAAATTTTAAGGGAAATCCTGACTTACGATGAGGTTGTTTGCAGGGAAGCGGACTTTGTGATCCCACAAGAGGGAACGCATTTGGCCGTGATGGTTGAGAACTTGGGTAGGAATAACTTTGGGAAACCACACGATTTTGAGCAGAGGAAAGGACTTCCTGACGGCCCCCTCAAATTCAATGGAGCTGAAGCGAAAATCGACAATAGCAAAATTTTCGCCCTTGAGTTCACCAAGAAGGACTTGGAGGAGTGAGTCATCACCAAGGACCTGCTCCTCGCTTCTGCTAAGTCTAAATCTGAATCTCACCTCTGAGCAGTCTGAAAGGGAAAAGAGAGCAACGAACGCAGATGTCCGACTTAAGCCTCCATTTAGAAGTAAATTTAGCTCAGTATTTAGATTTTAGATGAAGATTTTAGCAAAAGCGAGGAAGAGGCTCTAGATATTGTCAATCGAGCCGTATGTAATCGCCGAATGGTATATTCGCAGCTTGAAGAATGACGAGACCCGCTGGTTTGACATTTCGACCCTCCATAACAGTACCATGGGAATGTACTCACCAAGACTCTATAAGGGCAGTTGGAATATAACAGGAGAACCGAATGATACTTTCCTAAGTCTCAATTACAAGTGGATCAAGGGGGTCGTCTTCATCAACGGCTTCAACCTTGGCAGATATTGGAACGTGGGGCCTCAGAAGACCCTTTATGTCCCAGCTCCCTTGCTTAAAAATGAAGCCAATCAGGTAGGATTTTGGTCAATAATTTTTATATTTCTAAGACTTGCCTTATCCACTATTTACATTAAAAGCAGGCTTTATTCAACGACACAGCATCAGTCATACTGATGTACAGGGTGAGCCAAAAAAAAAGCTATCATTTTTGGTGAGTCGTCAATCTCTTTGTAGGTTGCCGATTTTTATTAAAATTGGTAGGCTTATAAGGTGACATAATTGAAGTTTGTGTACAAAGTTTCAGCTATCTGTCTTAAAAATGATAGGAGTTGTAATTATTTTCTGATGACCAACGACAAAATGTGCTGTCGAAAAGATCGATACAACCTTGAGACCGGGACGAAAGGGGGGGTCCAATTCATAGACCTTCCATCCCTGCATGATGCTACAAAGGAAAATTGGGAGGCACTGCCTCAAAGGTTTATTCACCGAACCATTGATCTACGGTGTCCAAGACTATGCGCTTGCGTTCAACATAATGGAGGGCACATTGAGCACCTTTTCATTTGAAATGTACGTCCCTAAACCAAGTTATGTGCTATCGTGTTAAGCATTTGTGCATCTGCTTTTGTTCTGTTTGTTTGCTTGTTTGTTTTTGTCAGTTGTGAGAATTTTTAAGCAGAAAGAAGAAATGAACACTTACTTTTTTGGCGATGAAAAGTAAATTATATGCCAATCTCATAGTTTTTTTAAATTTTTTATTTTAAACTTGGGACACAAACCCTAATAGAGTCACCCTACGTGTATACAAAATGTCATCAAAATCGGCCGCATACAATCAGATTGGCAACTTACCAAAAAGGACCCAAGCAGCATGTTCACGTAAACAATATATCAATTTTTTTGCAAACAATGTAAATTTCTTGCGATTGCCA